GTTTCTTTATTCACGGTCAACAGGTCCATGGAAATCGCCATGCCTGCATCGACCAAGTTTTCGATATTCCTCGGTTGATCGTAACAGAACGGAAATCCAAGTACTGGTACGCCGGCGTCTACAGCTTCGTACACTCCGGATATACCACCGTGACTGATGAACAATTTCACTTTAGGATGCACTATACGAGTACATGTAGGTACGGCATTAAATTTAAATACGTTTATTATAATTGCGCGTTATGCATCTCGAATACAGTGAATGTTTTAATGTCTTACATAACACGTCACGTTGCGGAAACCAATTCATGGTCATCACGTTCTCTGGTTTGTCTTTCATCTCACCCTCGTACTTCCACAAAACTCTCTGGGGAAGTTGAGCGAACACTTCTTTAAACGCGTTCTGTACGTTTTCCGGTAGCGACGACATCGACATTACTGATCCGAACGTAAAGTAAATCACTCCGTGTGGAGATCCTTCGATGAATTCCAAAATGTTCTAGAAAACGGATTTGGTTGATTATGATAATAGAAGGATATTAAATCGTTTTACAAACTAGAATGAACGGTAAATGAAGAAAAAAAAAATACAAAATATAACAACTTCGATTAAAAACATTGATGTATCACAACAATATGATTCTTTTAACTCGTTTCATCAAGCCTGCCTAGCATGATCCTCGTATAGAAAAAAAACAGCATCAAAACTTACATATATGCCAATTGAACAGTAATATTTTTACCATGGGCATGCAACGAACATCCGCTGTCGAAACTATTCGTAAATAAGTTTATGAAATTCAATTCTTACCAGAAAATTAACTGAAACCACTGCCCCCTCCCCTACGTAATTCAAATATATTTTTCGAAACAAAAAAAAACCCTAAAAAGATTGCGGCCCATGCGTGAATATGCATCTGACGTTCTGACCGGAATACACTTACTTTTGGTATCCTTTTGGATCGGGCGAGGTGTATGCCGCCGATTTGTACGATGCCTTGCGTCAACGGCCGAGAGGGTTCGGTGATGAAATGGGTGTTGGTGAATGTCAACGACGGTTTGACGAGATCGACCCGGTCGAACGGTTGAGGATTGGACAGCCTTTCCTGACGGTCGGCGTACCACTTCAACGACGAACCGTATACCGTTAACAGAGTGTTGGTCAGGCGTTCGATGAACGTTTTGAGCATGCCGTGACTAGACAGGATGTGTGCGACGACCGCGGGATTGGGATGGTGGCCGAACAACGAGCGTTCCAAGTGGGTAACGATCGGCGACGGCACGACATAGACCAATGGGACGCGAAGCACGGTGGCCACGTACGACACACACTCGGACACCAGCGGCTCGATAATGACTACATCGAAGCCGGCCGAGAGACCATGGCCGTTGCGCAGGACGTCCGTCATCCTCGGGTGTCGGAACGCCATCTCGCAACTCGCCCGCGTGAAGTTCGACAGTTTAGTGATCACCGAAGACACGGTACAGTATTCCTTAATCAGTTGCATCGCGTCCTGCCCTACGCCGCCCTGCATGACGCCGCCGTGCAAGTGCACCTCAGTGTAGCGTTCCCGGTCGCCGTCCAAAAATGGTGTGAACACGGTAACGTTGTGCCCGTGGTCGGTCAGCGTGCGCAGCACCGCACTCATCACGTTCCAATGGCTCTTGCCCGGTACGGTCTGCACCGCCAAAACGTTCATCGCCGCCGCCGGTGTCTCGTACGACGACCCGAGCAGAGCCGCAACGCATATTACCACGACTGTTACGATGGGACCACCGAACATGGCAATGTATTCGGATTTTCTATTCCGAGAGAGCCTCAAACCTGTACGTAATAATAATCGATCACCCATTGTTTTGCACCGGTGACGTAACATGTACGATGTACGTCAGTCCCGGTCCCGACAATGAAGGTTGATCGAGTTTCTACTGTACCACTAAATGTCTCCGCTTGGAGGCCTTATGTTAAAATGAATATTCCGGAGGACTTAGGGATTACTGAAATAGGTACACATTTTTTCGTAATTTTCAAGTTTTTCACCCATAAGGTGCCCATATGCCCAATATAACTTGCATTTTTTTTTAATGGCAACCCTTATTTTTTTCTACGTATTCGAATAGACTTTGTATTTCTAACAATTTTTGTAAAAAAAAATTTTCTATTTTCAAAATTGATCGAATAGAAGTAAGTCAACGATTTTAAGTTATGCATATTCGGTTTTTTACGAAATTTTTAATTTAATTAATTTAATTTTTCTTAACTTAAGTAAACACTATATTACGAGTATTATAAGTAATATTGAATTAATTAAACTTAATTAATAATATTTTTTTTAATTCAAATAATAATAAACAAATAAATTATACTTATTGCTCCCGAAGTTGGAATTTCATGATTCTGAGAATATAAATATATTCTATATTTAATAATTAAACCAAGTGAAATTACGATCATAAATATGATAATTTTTTCTACAGTTCTACTACATTATATAATAAGTTTATTGTACAGGTATATTATTTAATGAACAATTGACCCTTGCAAATTATAACAAATACATATGCTGAATTTTTTTAATAAAAAACATAACTCCCTTAACATTTTTCTGTTTCTAGATTTTCCAACATTTTCGTTGAGCATTGAAGAATTTTCTAGTTGAAAAATTACTTAAGTTAATCGTATATAAAATTAAAAGTGATTTTTCCAAAAACAAATTAAATAAAACAGTAAAAATTTAATATTTTAAGCCATATTTGTTTATTAAGAACTTGTATTCAAACCTAGTCATATTTGTGAACGAATTTTGAAAGAATGATGAACACATTTTCGTTATTATCTTCCCATAAAAAATATCCCTAATATGTTAACAGTCGCCCGAGTATACCTGTTTGAAATTTAATATGATCAACTGTGATTAACTAGCTGATGAACAATTTTTTTATTTTACTATAGTAAACATAACCAGTAATTATAATCTATAGATTATGGGGTTGCTAAATCCAGCCGAATAAGTCGAATGGCAAATCAATTAAAAATTTACCACAGTATTCTAAAAGGTAACGCGATGATATTGACTCTTTAAAATCATACAATAGATAATCACAAACCTTTATAGATCAATAATTAGTACAAACAAATGATTTGGAAAAACTTCACGAACAATGTTTGTATGTAACAAACTGATACCGCTTGGGACCTACAAATCGTAGTGCCGTATTAAATAATGAATGATAATAATTTTTAACTTTGATTCAACTCACTTTGTCTAAAAATCTATGAAAATAAGTATGTAAAACAATAATGAAAATGAAAATTAATAAACAACTCGGTGAAGAAATATAGAGATCATGTTAAACAAGATATGTATGAATAAAGCCACCACGGATCAAACGCGGAATAATAAAACTAACACAAAAGACTAATTATAACTTGCAATTTTATTGTGTTCGTCCATAAGAGAATACTAAACAGATACACGAATACAAACGCGCCTATATCGCTGTCGGTAATACGTTGTTGTCGGTCGTATCAGATAAAAAAATCAACCAAGTTGAACTATTATATGAGTGATGTAGAAAACGATGATTAAATCATGTATCGATGAGATGGAAAAAGATGAAAATAAATAGTATATGTAACCCCCAAAACAATAGGCGCTTAATTATAACATTGGACATTGTCCGTTTTTAATATTTTTATACTAATTGTGTCGATATGCCTATTTCTGATAACGTTTAACATATGTTTTGTAAATGTATTATAATTTAACTGTATTATATTAGTATAATAGATAAGATTACACGTTCGCATACGAGCACGTCATTTCGCCACGTGCAATACGATCAAAGTAATATTGAACAACGGAATTTCTCGGAGGCTTTGTCAGCTGTTTGTGCGGAAAACTATTGCGTCACGCGCGATCAAATGTTTAGCCCCTAACTGTGAATACTTTGATTAGCATTGATGTATTAAAGTAGTCGATCCACAGGTGCACAACATTTCTTCCAATTAATCACTCTCATACATCTACATATTATATGCGAAAGTTGATATCTTATAGCCTATAGGCTATATTATAGCTAATTATTTCAGTAAACCTAATCAACGCAGTGGGTAATTATGTTAAATAATAATCAGAAAATATTTTTAACGATTTCATACATTCGTATGATTCGTAAATTGTATTTCAGCCAAAGCTCATTTACATTGTAATCTGCAATATTTTCAGTCTTGATAAATAAAATTCTCTTGGGTTTTTTCTTTTTGTTATCATTAAAATAATTTTGGTTTTTTATTTATTTAGAAAACAAAATTTAAAACCTATACCGTGTTTAAATTATATGATAAAATATATGAAAGTTAGTTTGAATGGCTTGAGTAAGGACAACCGTTCAACAGTAATGCCTAATTTTTATTTTTATGAGTTATGTAGGGAAACCGTTTTCTTTAATTATTACCGTTTAATATATAAACAAATAAACACATAGTTTATGTAAAAAAAAAAATAAAGAATTAAATTAATTCTTAGCTTGGAGAATTATTATACTCGTACTTGTAAAGTACGACCGGCTTAAAATTAAAAATTCATCATCAGTAATATATCAATACAATCGCAACTATTATTAATTAATAAAAATATCTTTTCGTAATTGTGTTTTAAGTTATCTCTGTGATTTATTGGAAATTATTATTCATAAAATATAAGAGATAAATGAGTTCTAATATAAGTAGAGTTTGGAATAATATTTTTTTATAATGTCTGATTGCTAACCGTCCTTCGATAACTGTTAGCATTTGTAGATCGTTATGTAAAGCATTATTAGTCATGTACCGTAGAGCTCCAGTGATTTTTCTAAGAACTATGAATTCAAAATCGTGTATTGATTTTATATTAGAGAGATTGACTCGGCTCCGATCTGCATACCAGCATGTTCAGAGGAGGTTATAACTTTATGGTATATTAAAGTTTTGATTTTTAGACTGAATAATAATGGGCAAAAAATCATAGGCGACTGTTCTTAAGTTTTCTTTCATTTTTGTAGATATGAATCAAGTTAATCATTAATTTAAACAAACTTCTTAGTACTTAGTTACATGCTGAATTGGCATTGGTAAATTTATATAATTGAAAGATAATTGGGGACAGTCACTAATGCAAAGAGCAAAACTAACTTGAACTGATTTCTTTTAATTTATCTAGTATCTCCAATTGTTTATCCAAATATGAGATCTGATTTAAGTGATATAAATATTTAGTACAATATCGTAGGCAGGTACGATTGGTTCTTAATTTGATGTTAGTATGGCTGCATCATCGGTATATATTGCTAAGATTGAATTAATTGTTCTAGGAAAATATGACCAGTACATAATATAGAGAATAAATAAGGTAAATAAGTATTAGAGATAAGAGAATGTTTTTTAAGAATATGGAAGAACTCGATAATAATTCTCATTCACGTTTTCTTTTCACATTATGAAAAAAATTTAAAAGCATACAAGTAAATCATTTTCAGGCTAAAATATACAACAAACAAAATAACG